AAACTTCGGCGATATCTGAATGGCGGAAGCGCTGGGATGCCCTCGTCTTCACTCTAGCATCGCTTCATCCATTGGAGAAGCGGAGTCCAAGGAGTGGGTTGAAGCACAAATCGTGTGCTTTTGAGTTGGGAGAGTAGCGGTACAGACTGTTTGAAGGGGCGTGTAATTACTACACTACGGAGTAGAAAGCAACGCCTTGTCTCCGCCCAACTTAATGGGCGACGATGTAGATAGTGACACATTGGTAATTTGTCATCAAAGTAAGCTCAGCGACTGGAGGAATGAATGTCAAGGTGGTGTTGTGGTACATTCTCTTGGAGTTGAAGTACTACCGCGGTGTGGAGCCTCCACTCTTGTGCCACCGCCTCGTCTGGCATTGCCGAGTGTTGAATGTCTGCATGTATGAGTGAATTGAGGCGAATTGTACGCGGTCCTTCTCGTAACCGTGGCTTCTGATTGTCGATGTGTTGGGCAATGTTAACACTGGCTGGAGGGAAGGGCTCCTTTGCAACCGTTACCGGCCTCTCATTGAGGTTTGTGGGATGATTAATTTTGAGAACTAGGACTCTCTTCGATGTCATGGTGCCACATTGATATTGTAATCAGTGTTCCCTTCCGCTTAGGGACCACCAAGAGCATCACACACTGATCATTGCCTAATTGGTAAAATTAACGGTAAAGCGACACAGTTTCTGGCTCGACGGAGGAGCTTCCCGTGGTGACCGCACTTGGGCAGGCCTTAGCCAGGAGTTTACGCAGTCCAAGTGCAGTCGCAATTGAGGCCCTTTAAGTTTAATCCAGTCGGACGCCAGCTGCCTATGTCTATGCTATGCTTGCATCCCCTGCATCACGTCTCAAGACGTGACAATGCAACTTGTTGTCAACGTCGCATGCCGAATGCACCCGGACGTTGTGCCATCAAAGTGCCAGTCAAGAGCCAAATCCAAGCTCTAGGTAGTGGTTGTTGTGTTTCGTGGATCCTCCTCATGCCGGAGCGGTAAATTATGCACAAGACACGCTGTCTCTTGTTTTACGGGACAACTCGACAATCTTTACTCTCTTGCTCGTGTGGACATTGATGCAGGAGATAACTGACTAACATTGTAAGGCATATTGGAGGACTCGATGGGATGGTGGTGAGAGTGCAATTGGTGATGGTTTGTTTTGAAAGGAGGCGAATCAACACTTGAGGAATCATTGTCACGTTAGTACCCCTTGAGGGAAGCGTGCACGTGCTACTGTGCCTAACAGTTCCCACTCAATGCGACATAACTAAGAATTTTACAGTCGGTCTGACAACGCATCTTTATGCGGATGCAAAACATGCGCCATGTTTCTCGTGAGGACGCCGAGACTACAACCTCTACCTTGCATGCAATACAACTTTGGCGTGGCGTTTGAAACGACTGTCGATTAGCTAGGAAGCAGAAGCCCTCGTCAGGTCGAAGTGAATTAGAATCTCGCATCACACACAATCAACCAATCAGTCGACCAGCCAATCAGCATTCGGTGCGCTGCTATTGGCTGCCAGGAGGATGGTGAAATAAAATGGGTGTGCAACAGTAGCGGTGCGTGTTAATCCGGTGGGGAGTGCTGTGGTTGGATGTATCGTCAAGCGCAGAGGGTCTTGCGTCGACACGTGGATTTGGTGTGTGCGGGAAGGCGGTCACTCGCCTGTCCACCAGTGAGGTGTAAAGATGGGTGCGGTGTGCGTGGCAGCACCAAATGCTTCTCGTCGTTGAACCACGAGGAAGTGAGCCGGCACTCGGCAGAGATTGAGGCGGTACTGCGCCTGCAGCCCAAAGTACTCACTGCTGCCACTGTCAAACCCACGGCTGAGATTCGTCAGGTACGTTCCCTCCCGAAAGGTGTAGGTAGGTAATTTCAGTGTGTAGGTGTGTGTGTGTATGCATGCATGCAAAGGTGTATAATCATTATCGTTGTCGTCATCGACGTT